TCCAAAGCTGAATGAAGCAACAACAGCCTTATTCAGCTTTGCTTTTTAACGTTTGTACAGTATATTTCTTGCAAATTTTCTATGTACTGAAATAAGTTCTACAATAAAGTAAATAAACTCTCACCCCCCTGTGTTTTTTGTTTGCTCATCAATCATTCCAAAAGTGTTTCAAATACCTTGTTGATAGAATATAGAATATTTATACAGTGGCACCTGCTCGGTTTGGTTCCAGATAGATTCCAAAATACATGAATGCTCAAGTCTCATTACATGATACAGTAAAATGATGTCCCTTATACAAAATGACAAAATCAGTGTTTGCTTTCTGGATTTCCTAAAAATATTTTCAAATTTGCATGGTTGAATCTTTGGATAGAAAATCCATGGCTATAAAGCTATTGCCATTGTCTTCTCCACATTCATGGTAAGTAAGGGCCCTTCCAGATAGGCCCTAGATCCAAGGATCTGATCCCAGGTTTCTGTTTATCCCAGATTATCTGGCTGTGTGGAATCATATAATCCAGTTTAAAGCAGAAAACCTGGGATCAGTTCCTGGGATATAGGGCCTGTCTGGAAGGACCTTAGGTTAGATCTTCACATGACCAACTTAGTTCTAGCTGTTCTTATTGTTATGCATAAATAATAATAATAATAATAATAATAGCCCAAGAACAAGCCTTTAGAACAAATGCCATCAAAGCCAAAATTGAAAAGTCAATGACAGATCCCAAGTGTAGACTCTGCAAGGAAGCAGATGAAACAATAGATCACATCCTCAGCTGCTGCAGGAAGATCGCGCAGACAGACTACAAGCAGAGGCACAACACAGTTGCTCAAATGATTCATTGGAACTTGTGCCACAAAGACCATCTGCCTTCAATAAAGAACTGGTGGAATCACAAGCATGAAAAAGTTACAGAACATGAACATGTCAAACTACTCTGGGACTTCCAAATTCAGACTGACAGGGTTTTGAAGCACAATACTCCTGACCTCACGATTGTGTTAAAAAACCAAGTATGGATCTTCGATGTTGCAATTCAGGGTGACAGCAGGATAGAAGAGAAACAACTGGAAAAGCTGACACGATATGAGGATTTAAAGATCGAACTGCAAAGACTCTGGCACAAGCCAGTAAAGGTGGTCCAAGTGGTGATTGGCACACTGGTTAAGTGGCCTACACTTAAACACAATTGGCGCTGACAAAATTACCCTGCCAGCTGCAGAGGGCCACCTTACTGGGATGGAGCTCCCGGTGGCACAGTGGGTTAAACCCTGTGCCGCAGGACTGAAGACGACAGGTCGCAGGTTCGAACCGGGGAGAGGCGGTTGAGCTCCCTCTATCAGCTCCAGCTCCTCATGCGGGGACATGAGAGAAGCCTCCCACAAGGATGATAAAACATCAAAATCATCCCGGCGTCCCCTGGGCAACGTCCTTGCAGATGGCCAATTCTCTCACAACAGGATGCTCCTGACACGACAAAAAAAAAAAACCTTACTGGGATCTGCATGCATTATTCGCCGATACATCACACAGTCCTAGACACTTGGGAAGTGTCCGACGTGTGATCCAATTCAATAGCCAGCAGAGTGTCTGCTGTGGACTCATCTTGTTGTGTTTCTAATAATAATAATAATAATAATTAATAATTATTAATAATAATAATTCTTAATCATCTCTTCTTGTGGCTCGAGGAGGGTTACAACATCACTAAAACACAAACAATCATCTAAAAAATTCTACAAAATACGATATGAAAACATATTTCTACAAAATACATATTAAAATAAACAGAACAGAGATTAAATATAAGACACAAGTTTAAAATTTGTGATTAAACCTGGTTGGGTAGTCCTGCTGAAAGAAATAGGTCTTTAGATGGTTTTGAAATTCCAGCAGCTCATTTAGTCTTCTTGGTGCATCCAATGGAAAGATCCTCTGAAGTAACCACACCGCAGAGGATCAAAGGGAGAAGGGGATCCTGTAGGTAACCTGGACCTAAAGCATTTATCATTGATTGCAACACACCTGAAGATTAAGTACTTAAGCGTTCTCGTTTAGACACTATCTTCAATGCTCCTTGTTGTGAGTTAAATAATAAAGAACTTCTCTGCTGCATCGTAGCCTTGTCAGCAGGTCAGCAGATCCAACCCATGAGGATAAGGCATTTTATGTTGTTTTTATTTGCCACCAATTTATATATTTATTTACAACATTTACCCCTCCCTTGTCAAGCCTGAATGGGACTTAGAGCGGACTTACAAAAGCAACCGTTTGATACCATATACACAACAGACATAAAATAAACATATACATTAAAACATGAATTTAAAATCATACAAAGATTAAAACACATTGTTAAAAGCACACAATCCGAGATCATAGTAAAAAAAAGGCGTTCTAATTGTCATTGCACATTTTCCATCATCACTTGCACTATTGGCCAAAGGCTTGGTCCCAAAGTCATGCTTTCTGAAGGTCAGGAGGGAGGGAGCTGAACTGATTTTGCTGGGGAGGGAATTCCATAGCCGAGGGGCCACCACTGAGAAGGCCCTGTCTCTCGTCCCCACCAGTTATGCTTGTGAAAGAGGTGGGATGAGAGCAGGGCCTCCCCAGAAATCTTAACCTCTGAGTTGGTTCATAAAGGGAGATGTGTTTGGACAGGTAAGCTGGGCCAGAACTGTTTAGGGCTTTATAGGCTAAAGCCAGCAGATGGGTAGCCAGTAGAACTGATGTAGCAGTGGGGTTGTATGCTCCCTGTATGCCACTCTGGTGAGAAATCTGGCTGCCGCCCGTTGGACCATTTGAAGCTTCCGAACACTCTTCAAAGGCAACCCCACGTAGAGCACATTGCAGTAGCCTATTCGGGATGTAACCTGAGTGTGGACTACCATGGCCAAGGTTGACTTCCCAAGGTAAGGGCACAACTGACACACAAGTTTTAATTCTGCAAAAGCTCTCCTGGGCACCGCTGAGACCTGGGGTTCCTGGGATCTGGGATCAAGACCTGCTTGCTCGGATTTTGCAAACCTGGGGCCATAATCTTCCTTAATTGAATCAATCCACCTATAGAATCAAAGAATCGGAGTTGGAAAGGGGCCACAAGGGCCATTCATCCCACACAATCAAAACACTCCCGATGGGTGGCCACTTAATCCCAGTTTAAACCTCTGGTGAAGGAAACTCCACCACATTCCAAGGCAGCAGTATAATCAACTGCCAAAAATAGCTCTTACTTGTCATGCTTTGCCAAGTGCTGGTTAAATAAACAAAGGTTTTCCAAGCAACAAAAAAGTCAAAGTTCTGGCATTCTGATGGGAAAAGCCCTAAATGGTAGAGTCCTTGTAGGGTAGAAGTATGAAGATATGTATGCACACAAGCAATAATTCCTGTCCAAAGTCAACAATGCCGGCAGAGTCAGAAATCCAATCCAGGAACTAAAATACAGCAGTCAAGGGCACAATCCAGGATCAAGAAAGTCAATAATCCAAAGAGCATCAGAGTCCAGACTCACACCACAAAGCAATCTCAAGGTTCCCAATGTCACTTTGTGATCAATGTGAAGTTGACCACCAGCTTAAAGATTCCTAGGGAGAACATTTTAATCAAATTTATGAATATTCAAATCCACAAAAGCCAAACTCACAAATCTAGAGGGCCTACTGTATTTTAAATAAATGTTGAAATATCAGTAGGGTGTGCGATGTTTATCAAAGCTGATTCCCTTCTTTGTTACTGGAGTATAGATGTAATCTTCTTGAGGTGTGAATGTGAAAAACGTGACGGAAGTGTTAGGTAATTTCAATTCCACTAAAATTGCAGGTTTGGGGCTTGGCCAGATGAGACAGAGATAGGTTGAAAGCAAAATCAGAGGCTTTATTCTCAATGGCCAGGGAGGATATCAGTGGAGACAGTACTCCAAAGAAGTGACATACTGCAATTGTGAATACATAGGCATATTCATTGCTTTTGATAGCTATTCAGGACTACTGCACTGGTTTCTGATTGGTCCAGAAAGGATCCACTCCTTGGTTGGTCCAAGGCTACGTCCAACTTCACAGTTGCTTGGTCCCTGCCATGGTGGGGAAAATTGAATAAACTGTCACTGGATTATTTTGAGTATTGGGCCCATTTATTGATCTGTCCCTTAGAGGGGTGCGATTGGAAAGGAATGCAGTGGAGCAAGTAACAATGGACTGAAATGGATTTTGATACAAAGAGTGCCAGTCCAGAAAAACAAAGGGGTGCTTAGGATGTTGGCCTTTTCAATGGGAGCCCCAGATAGGGGTCCGATTTTGTGATAAGTGTTCCTAGAAACAGGAAAAGACCCTTGTAGAAACCCATTGATTCAAGTCTCTTAAGAGGCCACAGTAGCACAGTGGTTTAAACCGCTAGCTGCAGGAAATCTGCTGACCAGAAGGTTAGTAGTTCGAAGCCATGAGTAGGAGTGAGCTCTCGACTGTCTGTCCTAGCTTCTGCCGACTTAGCCGACAACACAATCAAAAAGTTTTATGGACAATTGGCTCCTTGGCATGGAAAAATGGAACATAAGCACCTCACCATGGCCAGTGTTGGGGTTCAGCCTGTGTGTGAACCTGTATCTCTGATTGTATTTCCTGATGTCAATGATTCTGAGGTCAATGTAGAAGATGACGGTTTGTGTAGTGAAAATCCTGCTGCTTTGGAAAGCGAAAGTCCAAATTCCCATGAGAATGATTCAGAGCCAAGCAGTTAACTTTCACTCCTTTTTAGCTCTTCAGATAATCTGACACCTGGTCCCTCTAACGAGTATAGACGGGGGCAGATTTGGCAAAGCAGAGGCGAAGTGCAGAGTTTACGGAGGTCAGCTAGATTAAGAGAAATGCAAACACGGCCTTCAGGCATGTCACGAAATAGATTTCTATGCTTTAAAAACGCTTGGCCTGGATGCCCATTTAGTCCAGGCATCATTTCAGATTCAGTTCTCCTGCTTCCAGTGGCTTTGTTCCAAGGGGTTTTTCTAGAACTTCAAGTACAGTTAGCGGATTGCTAACAGGTTCCAGGATTTAGCAGTGTTACTGTGGGTTTTTGATCTTGTTTATGGACATTTCTTGTTACTGAGTTTTACTGTGGCTTTTTACCTTGCCTGTTTTCCTCTATTTTTGTACTCATCTTTCATCAATGAAAATGATTGTTTTTCCTGAAGTCAAGTGTGGTGGATTGTTGTCTTAGGGTCCAGTTTCCTGCTCTGGGTTGCAACAGCCAGAGTTGAGCATTGCCTCCAGACGCCGGAGATGGAAAAAAGGGAAAGGCCTTTACCTTTGACTATGTAGTATGTCGGCATTCACTATGTGTAAAAGGCAATGAATGTTTGCCTCATATGTGTATATTGTAATCTGCTCTGAGTCCCTCTGGGGAGATAAAGCAGAATATAAATAAAGTGCATTGTTGTTGTTGTTATGATAATTGAGTTGTTCTGGGTCATTGTAAGGGGATTATGATAAGGCTACACCCTGAGGTCCAGGGTGTAATGAGACAACATTCCAAGGGAAATTCATAAAAGTTACTACAGGACAAAGGGAAAAGGTAACATGGACTTGTTGTATGTCTCAATGGAACCATGGGCTATAGTTTTTAATGTTTGGGTTCTAGTTTCCTATAAAGGAAGGAAGGAAGAAACTACAATTCATCATGGTAAGCATTCTGATTTGTAGTGTTGATGATGTGGCCAAGGATGTAATGGGGAAAAAGGAAGGAAGGAATGCATTCTTCTTCACAAAGGAAGTTGACTATTTTAGCCCAACCTGAAAAAAAAAGTTGTTTCCTCAACCATCAGCAAAAGAGCAATACATGTTGCCCAATTCAACTCAGTTCTACCTATTAGTGATTTATTTTAAAAAAATAGTTTAATGACACATTTGGCTGCTATTTTGGCAAGCCAAGAAAAAAAATATTGGCCAGAGGGGACAAAGAAGAAAGAAGCACCCATGATCTCATGATGAATTACAGCGGGGAATGGCACAAACTTTATAAGGGTGAGGGTGCATTGTGAAACCTAACAGAGGCTCTTTATTGAGTTCCTTCACTCCTTCTGGAAGCTGAAATCTGAACACCCTCAACAGGTGTGTACAGAAAACGAAAAGCTCCATCTTGGCCATGTGCTCTCCCAGGCACACCCGAGCACCTGTGGAGAAAACAAGGGGAAGGCAAGAAGTGAGGACGGATCTAGTCTGCTCCTGAATATAATTTCATTTGGCACCCATATTATTTCAAACAAAAGAAATGTAAATATGAATTACTGCAATTCTGTGTTTACCTATTCCAAATGGCAGGAATTCTTCTCTATTTATAAAATGTCCCTCCTTGTCTAAAAAATGATGTGGGTTGAATTGCTCAGGTGTCTCCCATCGTTCAGGATCAAGGAGAACGGAGCGTAGATCTGGAATGATAAAAGTCCCCTGAAAGGAAACAGGGAGCCATGACTCAGAATACATCCAAATAGGCATACTTCCAATTTGCTGTATACCACGTGACACATAGAGAGCCTCCCTATATTTACCTGTATGAATGCATATATGTTCACATGCAGAGAAAGATGAGATAGTTTTGGATGGTGATAAATCCTGGATGTAATATGGGATTGGGACAATTTGGGCAGATTTATTTATTTATCGTGTCAGGGCAACCAGTCAATTATATTACATTTCTAACAGAACAAAGCAAACAAACAGATAAAATATAAAAATTTGGGCAGATATGAGAGATGTATGTCAAAAGAGGCTCTTTCAAGCTAGATCAAAGCAAAATTCATGCCCAGTTGAATATTAATTGACGATTTAGATGGAGACAAATATAGCCAGGGCTGTAGCCAGAAAAAAAATTCAGGAGGGGTTGAAAATTTGGGGGGGGGGAGTGTGAAAATTTCACAGGGGGGGGGTTGAAACCTGCCTCCTAGCTCACACTGAAGCAAAGAGCACAGCAGAGGGCAGAGCAGCCTTCAATAGCCTGCAGCTCCGCCCCTGTCAACCACCTCCACCAAGTCTGGCCTCCTTAATGAGAGCATTCAACACCCCCCCCCAACTTGGTTGCTTCACTACATCGGCTATTGCTGCAAGTAATGACAGTGTGAATAAATTGTCAATATTTGCTTGAGATAGTGCTTGCAGTTCTGGAGGGACTCTTAATTTTTTGCGTCTCATAGACTTAGCATGGGGATTTGGTTAACCAGTTAAATTCATGAGCAAACCAGGTTTTTTTAACCTTAAAAATTGGGGGGGGGGTGAAAGATTATGGGGATTTAAAGATTGAACTGCAAAGACTCTGGCACAAACCAGTAAAGGTGGTCCCAATGGTGATCGGCACACTGACTTGCATTTAAACAAAATTGGTGCTGACAAGATTACCACCATCTGCCGAAGGCCACCTTACTTGCATTTGCATGCATTATTCGCTGATACATCACACAGTCCTAGACACTTGGGAAGTGTCCGACGTGTGATCCAATACAACAGCCAGCAAAGTGGTTTGCTGTGGACTCATCTTGTTGTGTTTCAAATAATAATAATAACTTTATTTTTGGACCCCGCCTCCATCTCCCCAAAGGGACTCGGGACAGCTTACATGGGGCCAAGCCCAATCAAAACAAAATGTGACACATTAAAATACATAACAACAATATAAAAACGAAATAAAACAACAGCATTATAACAATATTAAACAAGCATCAAAATCAAGAACCAGTTACAAAAAAAAAAAAAATAGGCCCAATCACCATAAGGAAAGTACTATGGGCGGGACTAGTCTCTGAAGTTTCCCTAATTATTGTAATTATGTGCAATTACTTTAACAAAATAATAACAAAAAATAGTTACTCTCATTATAGAAATGACATTTTTGCCAGGTACAATTTAGAAACAATTTAAAAATGAAGCACCATTGCCCCGCACCAATTTTGCAATGAATTTAGAAACTTTTTAAATTGATTGCACATCGCTAATACTTATATCTGTTCCCCGTCTCTGAATCTATCATGGCTGAAGGTTATCATACTGAAGGTTATCCACGACATGTGAGTGTGGAGAAGAGCAAACAAGTGACCACCTGCTGCAATGCACCCTGAGCCCTGCCACATGCACCATGGCGGACCTTCTTGCGGCAACACCAGAGGCACTCCAAGTGGCCAGATACTGGTCAAAGGACATTTAATAGAATACCAAGTCTGCAAACTTTGTGTTTTGTTTGTTTGTCTGTTTGTTTTTTAATGCAGTACAACTGTTTTGGTTCTGACACAATAAATAAATAAATCATATTGTATGTAGAAGAAATGGCTTCTTACCTTTGGAATGAGATAACCACGAATCTTCACATCCTTCACACATTCTCTCGGAAGCCCAAAGAAGAACACGTATTTGGCACGAAGAATCTCATGAATCACAGCATTTGTGTAGGGCAATTTCTTCTGATCCTGATACCGGATTGTTTGGGAAGATCCAAAAACGTCTTCTATCTCCTTGTGAATTTTATCTGAAAATAAATAATAACATTTTGACAATGTGTTTATCTCATGTAACGTACTCTATCATTCAGGTTACAGAAGCATCAGGGTATGAACTTTATTTCACCTGTTAGTGCAATTAAATCCTATTTCGTCCCTCGGAACGAGTGACGATATTACATTGCTTTCTCACCCAATGTTTTTAACCCTTAACTTTTAATTTCTGTAACCGGCCTTTCCGATTGTGACCATGTTCGAATATTCTGATTTTCTATTGTCTGAGATGTTTATTTATACTGTTTTTTGTATTTGTATTTATTTTATTTCTTTATATTGTATTATTGTATTCTTATGTGTATACTTGCATTGTTGTATTGCTGGGCTTGGCCTCATGTAAGCCGCTCTGAGTCCACTTGGGGAGATGGTGGCAGGGTATAAATAAATAAATAGTAATAATGATAATAATAATAATAATAATAATAATGTTCCATAACCATATATCACTTCAATGGCGTTAGCCATGCCAAGTCAGCATACTGAAGAAAACCTTGTTGGTGACTTCTGCTTATGTAAGTTCGAGTTGGGCATGTTTATCTGATGAGGAATACTTACATTTAGTTCAAGATTGTAGACATGGAGTTTTTTATACCTATGGTGCAATCATGCATGAATAGAGCTTATGCATGTGGATTGATGTACGTTATGCATTGCACATGAGGTGTTGATGCACGTTGGGTTCCACACTCAGTAGTATGTGCAAGTACTACTACTACTACTAGTAGATATTAGATTAGCTCCCTCCCTCCTGACTTTCTGGAAAAAAGTAAAAACCTGGCTCTTCGAACAAGTTTTTGGAAATGCAGCGTAATAGATAAACACGGTACTATGAAAGAGCAAAAATGGAAGGGTTTAAACGATGCTAATGGATGAGTTTAACTGGAAGATATGGATGATTATAGTTTTAATGGTTTTATATGGATTTTAATATGCTATGTTAAATTTTTAAATTGATATTTATATATGTGTGGCATCAAATTGCTGCCAACTTGTACACTGCCTTGAGCTGAGAAAGGCAGGATAGAAATACGGTAAATAAACAAATAAATAAATACTCTCAGGGGTCTGGGCTGTTCTATTGACTTGGCTGCTTCATCCAGGAGTAACATAAGTACAAACAACCAGATGCCAAAGAACGGAGGAACCCAACTCAGAAACCCAGCCAAATCAAATCCATGTTTGCTTCATTTCCTCTCACCTTGGACATCTGGATAAGCCACCATGAAGAGTAATGCCCATTGCAAACTAGTGGCAGTGGTCTCCATTCCCGCAGCGAATAAGTCAATAATACAGTGAGCCAAGTTATTTTTATTATAGGTACAACTAGGGTTGCCCTTGCTCTGTGGATGGGAGTAGAAATGGTGAAATATTGTTTAGAACGAATAATAGCTCACACATAAATCTCAAATTAACTTTACAGGGACTTCCTAACATGGTAGCAAATCTAAATGTAAGGTGCAGTGAGTTAAACCATTGAGCTGCTGAACTTGCTAACCAAAAGGTCGCAGGTTCGAACCAGGAGAGTGGGGTGAGCTCCCACTGTTAGCCCCAGCTTCTGTCAACCTAGAAGTTAAAAACATGCAACTGTGAGTAGATCCATAAGTGCTGCTTTGGAGGGAAAGTAATGGTGATCCATGCAGAATAATAAAGTTATTCTGTTCTATTCGGTGCTCCATGCAGTCATGCCAGTCACGTGACCTTGGAGGTGTCTATGGCCAATGCTGGCTCTTCGGCTTTGAAATGGAGATGAGCACCAACACCCAGAGTTGGACACAACTAGACTTAATGTCAGGGGAAAACCTTTATCTACCAAATATTTCCTTTTTAATTTTTTTTACATTTTTAAAATTATTATTATTTAGCATATTAATTTTTGACAACATTGAGCAGGAATCAGGCTGAACAGAATCAAAGAGAGTAACAAATTGTAAAAAAAGATCAACGACACCTTGGGCAGGAGGGACAAGCAATCCCACCGCTGCCACCAGTGTAATAAGGTTAACGTTCAGCTGGACACTACTTTAACAATGATAAATGTGGTGAATCTAACCTTTTGCCAGGAAGGCCGAAGCCTGGAAAGTCAGTAGCTGACATGTTGAGAGATAGGCAGGAGAGCTAAGAGGCAAGAGGGAGGAGTCAGCCGACTCCTGATTGGCTAGAGCAGTCAGGGGAGGAGTTAGGTTTTAGAGGGAAAAAGGCTGTGTCTTTTTTGACAAGCGGGGAGGGAAGAGCTTTAAAACATCGAAGAGTGTAGAAGGATAGTTAGGAAGAGGGAGCTGTGAAGAATTTAGACAGAGAGAACGTTTGAAGTGATCCTTGGGATTAGAGCATAGGGAAGGCAAAGGTTCCTGGATCACTGTACATAGGGTCAGTGTAGGAAAGCCTATTTTGCTCTGTGAGGCAGTCAGTGGACTGTTCTCAGGGACACACTGTGTCAAAGTAGTGAGCAGTGTGAAGCAAGGAACTCACAGGAAACAAAAGTTAAAGTCTTAAGAGAAGACTACTTGTCTAACCAGCTAAGCCTCATGTAACCACATTACGCTTCTGTACCACTCTTATTAAGAGTTGATTTGTTCATCAAGTTTTAAATAAACCTGTTTCTAATTTCATCTTTAAACTGGTGTCTGCCTCGTTCTGTCACAATCATTAGACCTCAGTCAGCCTAAAGACAACTCAATTTCAGTCCAGTCAGCAAAAGAAGCAGTTGTTAAAGAGGAGCCAAAGGCTTGAACAAACTTTACCTATTTCACATTCACACTTATGTTTTCCTCAGACATATAATTGAGGTGGTGGCGGTGAATCTACCTATTACATCGGTCATTAACATCGTTAATACAGTTGGTCACTTAACAATATTACTGAGGTGGGATAAGACAGTCTTTCCCCCTTGTCTTAGTCATTTATCTTTGTTAAAGTAGTGTCCAGCTGAACGTTAACCTTATTACACTGGTGGCTGCGGTGGGATTGCTTGTCCCTCCTGCCCAAGGTGTCGTTGATCTTTTTTACACAAATATACATGTTTGTTCAACTAACAAAAGATGAGAGATTGAAGTAGAATACATTAAACGCTACACCTATAACACTAAGTTAAATAAACGTTACGTGAGATATAACTTTCAATTAGTATATCAACTCTGTTTTCTCTTTTTAAATTAATAATTCTCAATTTGACTTTGAATACGGTATTATTTTTACACATAATCCAAATCTGCATATTTTTCCATCCTGAAGGATCACTTAGCTCCATTCTTTTTTAAATGTATACATGAAAATAATTACAGTTTTACATAACATAAATCCAGTGCTACTGCATTCAGTACAACCATTGTAGGATTATTTTTTCCTGATTAATTTTCTTCAATGTTCAGTTATTAAATAATAAGCCAACACATAAATAAGTTCCATCAATTCAATAAGTATTAGATTTAGCGACAGAATATAGGCCAGTGTTTTCAAATTGTCAATCTGCTCACCCTATATTGTAGTTTCTTTGTTGTTTGGTTATTCATTTTAAACATAAAATCCCCACACTGAAATTGTATTTTTTTTCCTACAATGTTTAAAAGTATTTCCTGTCTTGATTTTCTGTGGGGATTAAAATTATGTTGGCTTCTTTCCATGTCTCTGGTATTTGATTTGTTTCCAGAATTCATTATTTTTGTAGTATCAGTGTCATTTCATCTTTCATCATCTTGTAGTTTGTCACCATGTAGCCGTCTGGGCCTGGAGATTTATCTGCCTTTAAATCCTTCATTGCCTCATTGATTTCCTGTACTGTTATTGATCAATTCAGATGTTCCTGGTCTTCTTCAGAGAGGGTTGGTAGCTTTTGGTTTTTTATACTATACTAGCTGTCCCCTGCTACATTTTGCTGTGGCCCAGTCGGTGTATATGTGTTTTGTGAGTGTGTGTGTGTATGTGTGTATATATTTGTGTACATGTGTACATATGTGTGTTTGTGTATATATGGGTTTTTGTGCATGTGTTGTAATGTATTTTTTTGTTTTTTGGCTTTTAAAGTCTCTTCTGCTGTGATTTTCCATGTTTTTATGAGTGACCATCACTCATTGGCCTGATAGGTGTGTTGTGTCCAAATTTGGTGTCAATTCGTCCAGTGGTTTTTGAGTTATGTTCATCCCACAAACGAACATTACATTTTTATTTATATGGACCAGCTGTACCTGCCACGTGTTGCTGTGGCCATCCTTCCCTCCCTCCTTCTCTCCTTCTTTCCCCCTTCCTTCGCTCCCTTTTTCCTTCCTTCCTTCTCTTTTCTTCTTTCCTTCTCTCATTCCTTCCTTCTCTTCCTCTTTCTTTCCTTCCTCTTTTTCTTTTCCTCTTTCTCTTTCCTTCTCTACCTTTTTCCATCCTTCCTTCTGTCTTTCCTTCCCTCCCCCTATCTCTCTTTCTTTCTCTTTTTCCTTTGCTCCCTCTTTCTTTCCTTTCCTTTTCTCTTTCCTTCTTTCTCTACCCCTTTCTTTCCATCCCTTCTCTTTTCTTCTTTCTCTTCTTTCTTCCTTTTCTACTGCTTTCATTCCTTCCTTTGCTCTTTGCTTCAATGCTTCCTTCTCTCTTTTTCTTTCCTTCTTTCTTTCTCCCCTTCCTTTCCTCCCTCTTCCCTTTTTTTCCTGTATTGTCATTTAGCTTTTCGGGGTTTTTAAGTCCTTTCCACTGTTTTTTTTTTTTGGGGGGGGGGGTTATGAGTGATGGTCACTCGTTGGTCTGTTAGGGATGTATTGTCCAAATTTCGTGTCATTTCATCCAATGGTTTTTGAGTTATGTTTATCCCACAAACGAACATTACATTTTTATTTATATAGATCATAATATTGCTTATGTTGCATCTTCCTTTTTAAAAATTATTTGCAAGCCATCTGCCTGCGTTATTTGCATGTTGAATTTCTGCTTACCAAATTTCAGCATTTTGTTCACTTGTTCCACCAAAATGATTGATGCCTTAATTTTTAATAAATTTAATAATAGATTGGTTCTTGCTCTCCTCCCAGGAAGTAAACGTCTCCTGATTTCCTGGCCACAGTCTGCATCTGCAGTAATCTTTGCACCTAGAAATACAAAGTCTGTCACGGCCTCCACGTTTTCTCCCTCTATTTTCCAGTTGTCAATCATTCTTGTTGCCATAATCTTGGTTTTTTGACGTTTAGCTGCAACCCAGCTTTTGCACTTTCTTCTTTCACCTTGATTAGAAGATTCCTCAGCTCCTCCTTGCTTTCAGTCATCAAAGTGGTGTCATCTGCATATCTAAGGTTGTTAATGTTTCTTCCAGCAATTTTTACCCCAGCCTTGCATTCGCCAAGCCCGCACATCGCATGATGTGTTCTGCATGCAAGTTGAATAGGTTGGGGGAGAGTACACAACCCTGCCGTACGCCTTTCCCAATCTTGAACCAGTCTGTTGTTCCATGGTCAGTTCTGACTGTTGCTACTTGATCCTTATACAGATTCCTCAGGAGAGATACAAGGTGATTTGGTATGCCCATACCACCAAGAACTTGCCACAATTTATTATGATCCACACAGTCAAAGGCTTTAGAATAGTCAATAAAACAGAAATAGATGTTTTTCTGAAATTCCCTGCCTTTCTCCATTATCCAGCAGATATTGGCAATTTGGTCTCTCATTCCTCTGCCTTTTCTAAACCCAGCTTGTACATCTGGCAACTCTCTCTCCATATTGCTGGAGTCTTCCTTGCAGGATCTTGAGTGATCTTTAGTTTTTACACAGTTTGGGTTCTAAGATGTAATGGAACAATAACTTCCATTATTTTGATTATCTGCCATGTGGACTCTGAATGATGGGAGTTGCAACTCAACACCACTTGTGGCTCTGAGGATGGGGAAAGGTCAAAGGACATTTTATCATCAGACAAGCCTTGTATCTCAATCCAAACCATCTTCTTCTGACTAAACTGAACCAACTGCAAATCCATGAAATGGATTTTTGTATTCATAGAGAAACAATGCAGTTGAAGTCTTACGGTGTATCTCTAACTCAGGGGTTCTCAACCTTCCTAATGGCGTGACCCCTTAATACAGTCCCTCATGTTGTGGTGACCCCCAACCATAATATTGTTTTCGTTGCTACTTCATAAGTCATTTTACTACTGTTATAAATCATAATGTAAATATCTGATATGCAGGATGCATTTTCATTCACTGCCCCAAACTGGGCACAAATACCCAAAAACACCCAAATGTGAATGCTAGTGGGGTTGGGGGAGGATTGGTTTTGTAATTTGGGAGTTGTAGTTGCTGGGATTTATAGTTCACTTATAATCAAAGAGCATTCTGAACTCCACCAGCGATGGATTTGAACCAAACTTGGCTCCCATGACCAATGAAAACACTGGAAAAAAAAAAGAAAAAAAAAAAGAATAAAACAAAATAAAAAGAAAAAAAGAAAAAAGATATACAAAAGAGCAAGCAACTTTACATATTAGGTTAAATGAAGCTCATTTTTCCAGGATAAATGTAGTTTTGGCTAATGGATTGAGACCCAGGATATGACCCCTGTAAATGGGCCCACAGTTCAATGTTAAGAAAGATTCCTAAGATGAGCAATATTTGCATACAAAAGTGGAAACTTACTTTTTCCATCTGAAGTAGGTAATAGTCCACAATATCCTGTGGTTCACATTTCCGTTCCTCCTTGTGTTTCTCTATCTCTCCCATTGCAAAATAAACCTCTTTCCTGATAAAATGAATTGCTTTCTGGTGACGCCCAGGAAGGTAGTTCATCAACCATGGCAAGGTTTCATAAAACTACAGAAAAGAGGAAAACGGTAACAAGAAAATATGACCATCATGCATATGGATTAATAAAGTTCTTCTAATACTATTGTGTGGTATTTTACTACTTTTATAAATGTTGCAATTCTGAGTTTATTCATTTTGACATACGGGTTTTTTTGTGCTTATGATATGTCTTAAAAATCAAGATATAAATCTGTTATGTATAAAGAGCTGAGTTTTTGAAGTTTCAGTTGTTGAAGGCATTGCAAACCCATCTTTCCTCCAAAGGGTAAACTTTTACAAACATGCAATTCTTACCTCCTTGTATTTTCCAAATAATTGGGAGAAATTGGTTTGATCATGAGGTAAAAAACTAAGACTGTTTTATTTAATTTTATTTTATTTACTTCACTTGTATACCGGTTTACTCACCCCAGCGGGGGATGCAAAGCGGTTTCCAACATAATTATTGCAAAATTTAATGCCTCACATACAGAAGCCTAACATAACGATAATAACATACAATTATCAATGAAATCATAAAACATGACATCATTGAACATTAAAACAGGGAATTAACAACATATCAATATAAACCTTAAAATCACAATCCAACTATCGTAGTCCAGGCCGTTCCAAATATCACATTGATTGCACATAATCCCTGAATCATTCCTTGTACTGCCCAAAGGCTTGGTCCCATAGCCAAGTTTTTACTTTTCTTCTGAAGGCCAGGAGGGAGGGTGCTGATCTAATTGCATTGAGTAGGAAGTTCTATAGCCAAGGAGCCACCACTGAGAAGGTCCTGTCTCTCATTCCCTCCAGTTGCACTTGCAAGAGAGGTGGAATCGAAAGCAGGGCCTCCCCAGATTATCTTAATCTCCAAGATGGTTAGGAAGTTCCATAGCCAAGGAGCCACCACTGAGAAGGTCCTGTCTCTCATTCCCTCCAGTTGCACTTGCAAGGGAGGTCGAATTGAAAGCAGGGCCTCCCCAGATGATCTTAATCTTCAAGATGGTTAGGAAGTTCCATAACCAAGGAGCCACCACAGAGAAGGCCCTGTCTCTCATTCCCTCCAGTTGCACTTGCAAGGGAGGTGGAATTGAAAGCAGGGCCTCCCCAGATGATCTTAATCTCCAAGATGGTTAGGAAGTTCCATAGCCAAGGAGCCACCACTGAGAAGGTCCTGTCTCTCATTCCCTCCAGTTGCACTTGCAAGGGAGGTGGAATCGAAAGCAGGGCCTCCCCAGATGATCTTAATCTCCAAAATGGTTAGGAAATTTCATAGCCGAGGAGCCATCACTGGGAGGTCCTGTCTCTCATTCCCTCCAATTGCACTTGCAAGGAAGGTGGAATCGAAAGCAGGGGCTCCCCAGATGATCTTAATCTCCAAGGTGGTTCATAGAGGGAGATACGTTCTGACTGGTAAGCTGGGCAGGAACCATTTAGGGCAGTGGTTCTCAACCAGGTGTTTTGGTCTATAACTGCCAGAAATCCCAGTCAGTTTACCAGCTGTTAGGATTTCTGGGAGCTGAAGGCCAAAACATTTCAGAACCCACAGGCTGAGAACCACTAGTTTAGGGCTTTATAGGCTAAAACCAGCACTTTGAATTGTGCTTGGTAGCAGATTGACAGCCAATGGAGCTGGCGTAACAGGGGGATTGTATGCTCCCAGTACCCCGCTCCAGTGAGTAATCTGGCTGCCATCCAATGGACCAATTGAAGCTTCCAAACAGTCTTCACCGGCAACCCCACATAGAGCATGTTGCAGTAGTCTATACTGGATGTAACCAGTGTGTGGACTACTGCAGCCAAGTCTGACTCTCCAAGGTACAGATGCAACTGGCACACAAGCTTTAATTGTGCAAAAGCTCCCCTGGCTACCACTGAAACCTGGGATTCCTGGCTCAGCTATGAGTCCAGGATCACTCACAAGCTATGAACCTGTGTCTTTGGAGGGGGGTGTAACACCCATCCAACATAGGCTGCAACCCTAAACCTTGTTTGGCCTTGCGACTGACCAGGAGTGCCTCTGTCTTATCTGGATTCAATTTCTATTTGTTTGCCCTCATCCAGACCGTCACAGCTGCCAAGCACCAGTTCAGGACCAGAACTAGTCTGAGGATCCTATTTTTCTAAATTTATTATTCTAGCCACTAGGATAAAGTTTTGCAGAATGCTGTCCAGAGATCTTTGAAAACTGAATGACCCAATAGGAAAGAGAAAAAAAGATAACTTACAACTGCAGTTATAGAAGTTCCGTATTTAGAAATAAAATCAATGTTTTCGAGCCTTTGCTGGAACACTTCATCTTCAATGGAATATCGGGATCCAAAAGCTATACCATTTATCACATTGGACACTGCATTCGTGATGGGTAGGAAAGGCTCAAAAGGTTGCCCTGCAAGGCAAGATATTGACAGTACACTCATATTAATATTATTGTAGCTGATGTGATAATGCTATCAGTGTGAGTTCAATACGGAGCTTGAAAGCTGAGTGGTGTTGTTATGAGCTTTCAAATCAAATGTGTCTTATGGTGACTCTCTTTTAGGGTTTTCTTGGCAATCTATAGTCCAAGGAGGTTTCACAATTGCCTTCCTCAAAGCCAGGGAGAAATCGGAAAATCAGAAAAGTGAACATACAGAATGAGTTTTGGTTTGCAAGAGAGGTTGAAAGCAATGAAAACAATAAAAAGTGGCTTTTTTGTTATATCCATAGCAAAAAGAAGAACAAAGAACATTTTTTCACCCTGTTGAACTTCATCAAAATGAAGTTCAACAGGGACAAATGCAAGATACTCCATTTAGGCTGAAAAAAAATGAAATGCAAAGTTACAGAATGGGGGACGCATGGCTCGAGAGCAGTACGTGTGAAAAAGATCTCGGAGTCCTCGTGGACAACAAATTAAACATGAGCCAAAAATGTGATGCGGTGGCAAAAAAAGCCAATGGGATTTTGGCCTGCATCAATAGGAGCCTAGTGTCTAGATCCAGGGAAGTCATGCTCCCCATGCTCTATTCTGCCTTGGATAGACCACACCTGGAATATTGTGTCCAATTCTGGGCACCACAATTCAAGAGAGATATTGACAAGCTGGAATGTGTCCAGAGGAGGGCGACTAAAATGATCAATGGTCTGGGAACAAGCCCTATGAGGAGTGGCTTAAAGAGCTGAGCATGTTTAGCCTGAAGAAGAGAAGGCTGAGAGGAGACATGATAGCCATGTATAAATATGTGAGAGGAAGTCATAGGGAGGAGGGAGCGAACTTGTTTTCTGCTACCCTGGAGACTAGGATGCAGTGTTACAAAGGCTTCAAGCTACAAGAAAGGAGATTCCATCTGAACATGAGGAAGAACTTCCTGACTGTGAGAGCCGTTCAGCAGTGGAACTCTCTGCCCCGGAGTGTGGTGGAGGCTCCTTCTTTGGAAGCTTTTAAACAGAGGCTGGATGGCCATCTGTCAGGGGTGATTTGAATGCAATATTCCTGCTTCTTGGCAGAATGGGGTTGGACTGGATGGCCCATGAAGTCTCTTCCAACTCTTTGATTCTATGATTCTATGATCTCCACTGCATGGAGATGATGACAAAATGCTAACAGGAGACAGAGAAAAATTACTTTACCTTATCTGAAAATGCTAAAAGTGCTCAACTTGGGGATGATGAAACAGAGGACACAGTGGGGGAAATGCAGCACAGAATAAAGAGGCGCTCTAAAAAATATCTGGCAAAGTGAAATGAAACCAAGCCTCCAGGGCCAGATAAATTACTTCTAAGAGTTTTAATACCATTGGCAGGGGTAATCAAAAAACCATGAACAATACTCTTTGAGAAGTCTTGGAGGGCAAGAGAACTCACAGCAGACTGGAGGAAGGCAAATGTCCCCATGCTTACTAAAAGCCAACGTGGGTTTCTCAGGAACAAATCATTCCAGGCTAACCTTATATCTGTCATACCTTATATCTGTCAGGTTAACTTTATCTCATAGTTTACCATAGTAACCTATGGATGTGAGAGCTGGACCATAAGGAAGGCTGAGCGAAGGAAGAGAGATGCTTTTGAGCTGTGGTGCTGGAGGAAAGTTCTGAGAGTGCCTTGGACTGCAAGAAGATCCAACCAGTCCATCCTCCAGGAAATAAAGCCTGACTGCTCATTGGAGGGAAGGAGAGTAGAGGCAAAGATGAAGTCCTTTGGCCACATCATGAGAAGAAAGGAAAGCTTGGAGAAGAGAATGAGGCTGGGGAAAATGGAAGGAAAAAGGAAGAGGGGCCGACCAAGGGCAAGATGGATGGATGGTATCCTTGAAGTGACTGGATTGAGCTTGAAGGAGCTGGGGGTGGTGACGGCTGACAGGGAGCTCATTGGAGGGAAGGCTATTAGAGGCAAGATGAAGTCCTTTGGCCACATCATGAGAAGACAGGAACACTTAGAGAAGACAATGATGCTGGGGAAAATGGAAAGAAAAAGGAAGAGGGGCCGAGCAAGGTCAAGATGGATGGATTGTGTCCTTGAAATGACTGGTTCGACTCTGAAGGAGCCGGGGTGATGATGGACAACAAGGAGCTTTGGCGTGGGCTGGTCCATGAGGTCACAAAGAGTCAGAAGCAACTGAATAAATAAACAACAACTTATCTCTCTTCCAAGCTTCCAGCAGTGAAACTCTCTGCCCCGGAGTGTGGTAGAGGCTTCTTCTTTTGAAGCTTTTAAACAGAGGCTGGATGGCCATCTGTTGGAGGTGATTTAAATGCAATTTTCCTGCTTCTTGGCAGGGGTTTGGATTGGATGGCCCATGAGGTCTCTTCCAACTCTATGATTCTATGGTAGATGAAGGGAATGTGGTGGATATAGCATATCTTAATTTCAGGAAGGCTTCCAACAAGGTCCTCATAATCTTCTTGCAAAGAAATAGTAAAATGTGGGCTAGACAGTGCTATTGTTAGGTAGATATATCCCTTCCAAATCTGTGCTTCTATGATTATTGCCTAGAATCACATACCTTTTGTAGAAGCACAATATTCCACAAGGTACCCAGCCTCTGCTTGCACCAGAGTCTCCATGTGTTGCCTCCCCATCCCCATCTTCCGCAGAGTCACTAGAGCAAACTGTCTGTGCTGCCTCCAGACGTCACCGCTTGAAAATATAATACCTAAACCTAGGAGGAATCAATAGTAAGTTATTACTCCAAAATGCATTTATAGGCTTTGTTAACCCATTTCCATAATGTTACTATTAGTGTTGACACTGGCTATGTATTTATACATTTAAAACATTTATTTAAAACTAGCTATCCCCCGCCACGCGTTGCTGTGGCCCAGTCTCGTGAGCTCGAAAATAAAGTAATGAGAAAGTGTTGGTTTCTAATATACGTAATGTCTTGATGCTTGTGGGTAAACAGTATTTCTTGCTGTTTCTTTGTCAGTGTTGATGTGGAGAGTGTCTGGTTTGCCTAGACAATCTGGAGCATGCAACACTGGAGCAACACTGGAGCATGCAACATATCATTGTCCTTTTTTAGAGGTCTCTTCCAAATCTATGATACTATATCTGCATGTGTGTGAATCATATATATCTATGTATATCTATGGCTGGATGGCTCTTTGTCAGGAGGGCTTTGATTATGTTTTCTTACCCCAGTGAAGGGAGTTGGACTGGATGGCCTTAATTATTTTCTGTTGGTCATGGGGATTCTGTATAGGAAGTTTGCCCCAATTCTGTCATTAGTGGGGTTCCGAATGCCCTTTGATTGTAGGTGAACTATAAATCCCAGTAACTACAACTCCCAAATGTCAGGGTCTATTTCCCCCAAACTTCCATCTGTGTTCATATTTGGGTATATGGAATATTTGTGCCAAGTTTGGTCCAGATCCATCATTGTTTGAGTCCACAGTGCCTTCTGGATGTAGGTGAACTACAACTCCTAAACTCAAGGTCAATGCCCATCAATGCCCATGTTAGTCATGGGAGTTCTGGGTGCCAAGTCTGGTTCAGAATATTGTTAATTGTTTTCCTTCAGTGATTCAGCAAAGCAATGTGTATATAGTACATACATACTATATACACATAACTACATACAATATTCTACAAACCTCAAACTCATTGTTGAGTTTACCGTTTATTGTTCTGCTCCCTCTAGATATTATAAAATCACACTTCTACTTTTAATAACATTCTTCTAATTCATACATCCAGCATTTGAGATTTTCCCCATCATTGTTATGAAAAAGTCATAATGAGGAAATGTTATTTTCTGAACAGAAAAATTTGGAGACAATCCACACAAAAGATGTGCACTATTAATTTGTACTAAAATAGTATTTTTCTACACAGGAAATAGTTTTTTTTTTCTGTACAGAAAAAAAAATTTTTGTGCAGGAAGATATTTTTCTGTGCAGAAAAAGTTGTTTCCGATGCACACAAAAAAGCTGTCTTTGGGACAAATCAATTATGTGAAATTTTTGTGACCAGTATGTCCTGATTTGCAGATAAACTTTGATAACTCAGTGGTTTTCTTTTCTTTTTTATAGTGAGTGAAATTTACTAAATAACATGTTGCTTATTTTAAGTATAAAATGAATGTAAAATTCCAATCTTTTGTAAATTTGTAATTTTTCAATCAGTTTATTCTCAAAAATAGAAATGAGTAATTCCAACAATTTGTTTCCGATTGTAAGAAAATTTTTGAAAACCACCCAATTTTCAAAGGCTATTCAGAATTATATTTTGAAAAATTCAGGCATGGTTGTTTTGAACATTAAACAGCACTTTCTATGCAATAAACCGAACGGTCTTTGTGTAAAATAATATTTCTATGCAGAAATTTTTGTTCATGAGCTGTACAGAAAAAAAATTTCAGTGCAGAAAGGAATACTTTGATTTCAGAAAATGCTGTTTCCTAGATGGAAAAATTAGTTTTGTGCACAAATAACAACTTGCATTTTTACCACAGGATAAGTCTCAAAGTGCAAAAAATTCTCCATACTCTAGGATTTTTCTTTTTGAGGTTTTTCAATACTCAATAATATATTTTGACCATTTTCTGTATATTTTCAAATATTCTTTCCATTTCTAAAAGACATCAGGTGCTTTAAACACACTGTATAGTGTATTGTCGAAGGCTTTCATGGCCAGAATCACTGGGTTGTTGTAGGTTTTTTAAGGCTATATGGCCATGGTCTAGAGGCATTCTCTCCTGAAGTTTCGCCTGCATCTATGGCAAGCATCCTCAGAAGTAGTCACCTTACTACCTCTGAGGATGCTTGCCATAGATGCAGGCGAAATGTCAGGAGACAATGCCTCTAGACCATGGCCATATAGCCTAAAAAAACCTACAACAACCGACACTGTATAGTTCTTAAAAGTACCAGAAAAGCTTTCAAGTTCTCAAATACTTTCTCTTTCTTATTCTCTTCCCACCAAAACCTCTGAATAAAAATATTTCCTTCTTTTTGTGTTAAATGATTGTGTAGCTATTTCAATGTATCATGACCGATCTGACAAACAAACAAAAAGAAGGTAATGGTTAGATCCAGAAGCCACTCAGATAATTTTTCTTCTTCAACTTACCCAAGTTCTCCAGTGCTGTTTTAATTATGGCCACAACTGGTCGATCTGTAAAGTCATCTTTGCGGTCGATCATTGCTTCTTTCACAGCTTGGTATCCAGACAAGACTACGATAGGTTTTTGCCCTAACCAGACAGTGTAAATATCCCCGTACCGCTTTGCCAGCTGCCATCAGGAACAAAGAAAAGAACTGGTACATTCAAACCAAAGTAAATTATTTCAAGCGACTACATGGATTGCATGTTTTTTCCCCCTTGACCAATTCTGACCAGGTTCATCTCCCCTCTAAATTCATTCTCTTTACCAGACTTCCTTTTTATGTCTCACTAGCTGTCCCCTGCCATGCATTGCTGTGGCCCACATGGGGGTTCTGTGTAGACAGTTTGGCCCAATTCTATCATTGGCAGGCTTCAACTACAACTCCCAAATGTCAAGATTCTATTTTCCCCAAACTCCACCAGTGTTCATATTTGGGCATATTGAGTATTTGTGTAGAGTTTGGTCCAGATCCATCATTGTTTGAGTCCACAGTGATCTCTGGATGTAGGTGAACTACAACTCCAAAACCAAAGGACACTGCCCACCAAACCCTTCCAGTATTTTCTGTTGGTCATGGGAGAACTGTGTGCCAAGTTTGGTTCAATTCCATCGTTGGCGGGGTTCAGAATGCTCTTTGATTGTAGGTGAACTATAAATCCCAGCAACTACAACTCCCAAATGACAAAATAATTTTTTTGAGTGAAGGACATGCATTGGATTGTTAGGTGTCTTGTGTCCAAATGTGGTGCCAATTCCCCCAGTGGTTTTGGAGTTATGCTAATCCCACAAACGAACATTACATTTTTATTTATATAGATTCCTGAATCCAGATTAGTTACCGGAACATCTAAGATTGGGCACATCACACACATACTAAAGTCACTCAATTGGCTGCAAATTAGTTTCTGGGCAAAGTACAAACTGTTGGTTTTGGTCTTTAAAGTCCTACAGGGTTTGGGTCTAGGTTATCTACAGCATTGCCTTCTCTCGTAACATCCCCCCTTTAAGACACATAGGTCCTCTGGGAGGCAGCTACTCCAACCAGCTGGATCCCGACTGGCAATCATCATCCAGAGGACCTTTTCATCAGCTGCCCAAAGACTGTGGAAGGATCTGCCCAAAGGTATCTGAAAACTAAATGAGCTGTCGAAGGCTTTAATGACCGGAATCGCTGGGTTGTTGTAGGTTTTTCCGGGCTATATGGCCATGTTCTGCATCTATGGGAAGCATCCTCAGAGGTAGTGAGGTCTGCTGGAAGTAGGAAAATGGGTTTATATATCTGTGGAATGGCCAGGGTGGGACAAAGAAGCACCATTAAAGCCTTGGCAGACTGTGCAAAAAAAAAATCTGTGAACCCCACCTCCTCCAAGATGAACTGAACCACCTCAACTGGGCTCTACAGGCCAATGGAGACTCCACCTCAGACATCAGAAGAGCTGCAATACCAAGAACAAGCCACGGGAGTAGAGTCAAGATCCACCCAGAGGAAAAGTGTTCTTGCCATACATCAAGGGAACCACTGACCGCATAGGGAAGCTGATGAGGAAACACAACATACAAACTATCTACAGACCCACCAAGAAAATCCAACAAATGCTACATTCGGCAAAGGACATGAGGGATCCTCTCACCTCTGCAGGAATCTACCGGATACCATGCAGCTGTGGACAAGTCTACATAGGGACCACCAACGCAGCAGCATTGCCCAAACACGAATCAAGGAACATGAAAGGCACTGCAGACTACTTCAACCAGAGAAGTCAGCCATAGCAGAGCACCTGATGAACCAACCTGGACACAGCATATTATTTGAGAACACAGAAATGCTGGACCACTCTAACACCCACCATGTCAGACTACACAGAGAAGCCATTGAAATCCACAAGTATGTGGACAATTTCAACAGAAAGGAGGAAATCATGAAAATGAACAAAATCTGGCTACCAGGATTAAAAAACTCTAAAATTAGAACAGCACAACAACAGGGAGGAAACAAACAAGGACATCAAATCACCTCTCAACAAAAGATTGCCCCAGCCACTGCCAGGCCATCAAATGCGAATCAAGGTGGTCAGTTGAAACATTCGCCCTTAGCTCCAGCAGACAAGAGTTCTTTGTCCCACCCTGGTCATTCCACAGATATATAAACCAATTTTCCTAGTTCCAACAGACCTCACTACCTCTGAGGATGCTTGCCACAGATGCAGGTGAAACGTCAGGAGAAAATGTCTCTAGAACATGGCCATATAGCCGGGAAAAACTTACAACAACCCACTAAATGAGCTGTCAGAATTTAAAACACAATTTATGACTCATCTCTTCCAGTAGGTCTATCTAGTCAATTATAGCTTGTGAATTTTATCTGCATTTATCACTTAATTTTAACCTGCATTTTAACTATGTGCAACTTTAATAGTGTTTTATCTCTTGTTTTAACAGTTGTACCCCGCCCTCAACTGCAAGGAGAGACGGGTAATGGATGTATTATTATTACTACTATTATATTATCTTTCCTTCTCATCTTAATTTCTCTCTCTGGTTTCTTCCCTCTTCCAATGATGTATTTTAACTATAGAATAAATGCAATTTGACAACACTTTAACTGCAATAGCTCCATGCTACAAAATCATGGGAGTTGCTGTTTTACAAGGTTTTTCACTTTCTCTTTCAATGAATGGTGGTTCTCCACCAAACTACAGATTCCAGGATTCCATAGCATTAAACTATGGCAGTTTAAGAGGCATTAAGTCTTCACTGTAGATGTACCCCAAGTTAGCAACAGTTTTTCCTTCCTGCTCTAGTTTTTGAGATACAGATCATATGCTATATAGCAGATGACATCTGCTTTCCCATAGAAAACCAGGAAAGTCATATCTAAGAAGTTAGAGCAGGTGTGGTCTTTCTATCTGAATCAGCACCCCAGATGCTGGGGGCTTAAAAACTAAGACATCAAGAATTATTATTTTTGGTTGGATTCTCCCTCTCTGTTGTTGTGCTGGTAGCCAGATTTTGTTCATTTTCATCCTTTCCTCCTTTCTGTTGAAATTGTCCACATGCTTTTGTATTTCAATGGCTTCTCTGTATTTCAGTTTCAACAGAGAGGAAACCATGAAAATGAACAAAATCTAGCTACCAGTATGAAAAAACTCTAAAATTACAACAGCACAACAACAGAGAGGAAACAAACAAGGACATCTAATCACCTCTCAACAAAAGTTTGCTCCAGGCACTGTCAGGCCATTATGCGCTAATCAAGGTAGTCAGTTGAAACATTCACACCTAAACTCAATTTGTTTTTAGGGGGTTTTTGTGTTTCGTTATTTAAAAGAATTCCGAAATTTTTCTTTAAAAAAGTTCGATATTTACGAAATTTCGGAAATTACGAAACAATTTCGAAACAATAACGAATCGATTCGTTAATGGCGGACGCGATTGCGCAATACGCTAAAAAACCCTCCAAATGGGACAGGGGGAACTTCTGAAGCTTCCCTCTCCCTCTGTTGTTGACTGTTGGTGTGATAATTTATTTTTTTATCACTGATAAAACAAACAACAACCATAAAACTTGCACCAGACATACCGAAATAATAATGAAATAATAACAAAACAATTACGAAACAATTTCGAAACAATTACGAAACAGTTACGAAATAAATTTTAAAAATTCGTATCGATTTTTAGTTGCTCCTGAATGGTTCAATATCGCTTCGTTATCAAAAAAATAACGAATTAATAACGAATTACGAAATTAACGAACGAAACCGCCCAGCCCTAATGCTAATCAAGGTGTGTCAGTTGAAACATTCACACCTAGCTCCAGCAGACAAGAGTCCTTTGTCCCACCCTGGTCATTCCACAGATATATAAACCCATTTTCCTAGTTCCAACAGACCTCACTACCTCTGAGGATGCTTGCCACAGATGCAGGTGAAATGTCAGGAGAAAATGCCTCTAGACCATGGCCATATAGCCCGGAAAAACCTACAACAACCCAGTGATTCTGGCCATGAAAGCCTTCGACAGCTCATTTAGTTTTTGGATACCTTTGGGCAGATCCTTCCACAGTCTCTGGGCAGCTGATGAAAAGGTTCTCTGCACGATGATTGCCAGTCGGGATCTGGCTGGTTGGAGTAGCTGCCTCCCAGAGGACCTATGTGTCTTAAAGGGGGGGGGGATGTTATGGGAGAAGGCGATGCTGTAGATAACCTAGACCCAAACCCTTTAGGATCTCACTACCTCTGAGGATGCTTGCCATAGGTGCAGGAGAAACGTCAGGAGAGAATGCCTCTAGACCATGACCATATAGCCCAAAAAAACCTACAACAACCCATTTAGCACACATTATAAAAACCATGTAAAAATCAGACCTCACAGCCTCTGAGGATGCCTGCCATAGATGCAGGCGAAACGTCAGGAGAGAATGCTTCTAGAACATGGCCATATAGCCCGAAAAAACCTACAACAACCCATGTAAAAATAATTAAAAACATATAATCACCAGTGATTTCCTACTAACTCATTTCCCAAAAGCACAACCCTAATGCTCAAGTCCTGATCAACTCAGAAACATTTTTATATCAATTGATTTTTTTAACCAAAATCTTTGCCAAAATACTTTTAGAAAGGAAGTACTTGCCCATTTTTTTTGCTATAATCCTGAAAAAAAGAACACAGTTTGCAAATTCCTTCCATAAGTTTCAGACTCAGATGCTGACAATGATTTGAAAAGGAGTACCTTGATGAAAATGTCATGAGAAAATCCAGCTCCTATCAGCCATATCCCTCCAATGATGGGAAGTTGAAAAGGTCCAGGTGGGTAGTTTCTTCTGGACCAGAGCTGTTTCACATAGTGCAGGAATAGAAGACTCACCAACAGAACAATCAAAAATTCCCAGAACTCTCCCATCCTTCTCCTGCCTTTGCTTTTGCTCTCTTTGCCTTTTCCTGGGGCAGCTGGAGAGGCTGAGGAGGATGCTCCGACAGGTTTTGCTTTCCTCTCAGATTCTGCCCACTGTCTCTGTTCTGGTTCTTCCACTAACAGCTGTTTATATATTTCATATTAAGGAGGTAAACAGCACGCTTTCTTGCATCATATCAATTAGTGTACGGAGGTGTTTTACAGAGATATATAGATATAGATGCATTCATTGATCAAAAATCTTGTCATTAGAAGCCAACTGTGACAATGAGACAGAAGTATTGAGGTGCCTCCTGCAGATGCCTGCACATACCCTGACATTAGCAGCATGCTGGGGTGGCAAACCTGGATACCTATGAAGTTGTTGAGTTTTGAGGAATCACAAACTAGGACTGATCTCCAACTGGTTATACTGTTTTTTATTGATAACATTGATACTGTTTCTTTTTATTGATGTCATTCTGTAAGATGCAGAATGAGGGGTGATGCCTGGCTCAAGAGCAGTACGTGTGAAAAAGATCTCGGAGTCCTCATGGACAACAAGTTAAACATGAGCCAATAATGTGATGCAGAGGCAAAAAATAGTCAATGGGATATAGAGTATATAGTATATAGACAATATAATGAGTATATAGACAGACGGGTGGAAATTAGCCAAAACAGACAGCTTGACCAAGGCCTTCGGCGTTCTGCCAGGCTGCGACAGACAAGGATGAGAGGCATTGAAGGAAAACGAAACTAATTTCTGAGTTGTTGTAAGTTTTTCCGGGCTATATGGCCATGTTCTAGAGGCATATTTTCTCCTGACGTTTCGCCTGCATCTATGGCAAGCATCCTCAGAGGTAGTGAGGTCTGTTTGGAAGTAGGAAAAAAGGTTTATATATCTGTAGAATGACCAGGGTGGGACCAAGGACTTTTGTCTGCTGAAGCTGGGTGTCACATAAAGGCAGTTAACAGGAACATCACAGGATTGGGAGCTAATGATGGGTTCTATCCCATCAGTAGCTAGGGATGGGAAAACCACAGGGAGATGGAAAACAGCAGCAGGATGCACACAGAGTCATTTGACAAGGACTACCACCAAAGGTGATGGTCATGCTACAATATCAGTTTGTGTTACGTCTTCCAGGAGCTTGGTTTGCATTGCCCCTTAGTTGCATGAAATAGCATCTTTTGCATTTTCCCCAGGGTTGCTACAGTCTCAGCAGCACCCTGAAAGTTAAACATTAACAGGGGCTTAAAGCCAGCCTGCAAAAGCCTTTTGCTATTGTTGGCTTAAAAACGTATCTTTTGGTCTAGATACCGTCCTTTTTCCTGGAGATGAGATCTCCATTGTGGAGAAGCTCTCCTGCCTTCTTCAGTTTAGAAAAAGCCTCAGATGCGCTTGTGGTCAAGCTAGGTGGCTCGGACAGGCCATCGTGAGTACTTACCCTCTTGCCTTTGAAACTGGTGCTGAGCTTAGATAGGGGAAGACCTGCTCTTTCTAAAGATAGCAGCTCAGCTATCTTTAGCTGGGGTAGAAAATATCTCAGGATTTCTCTGCCATTGGGAGAGGCTCTATTACTTCATCTCCAAACTAACCTTGAGCTTAGATAGGGAAAGACCTGCTCTTTCTAAAAATAGCAGCTCAGGGTTATGGTAAAGAATCCCAGGATTTTTCTACCATTGGGGAAAGCTAACTCAGCAGCTGAAGAAAAAAGGAAGGAACATCTATATAATTTCACAAGTTGACTGTTTGTGTTTGTAACTTCAATATGCTGTGCCAAGTCTGTCAAGGACTTTGAGAAATAAATGTTCTGTTTGATGTTCAAATCTGGAGTGGCCTCAGTTGCTGAGAATCCTAAGTTTCTAAGTAAGGCACCCGCAGTTCACCCAGATAAAGAGAGAAGCACATCTTAGTTTTAACTTTATAGTGTCTGGGTGTGACGGCACAGTTCGTGTGATAAAGTCCTAAATCATCCAGTCGCTGTAAGTTACACAATAAAAAGAAATCAATACAAGCCTATTGCCATTTACCACTTAATCCCTTCAAGCTACTACCGCCTCCTTTTCCTTGTGCGTCATGTTTTATTCAATTTTATGCTGGAGGGCAGGGAACAATCAAGTTAATTATTTATAAACTGCACAACTGGAGCTTTCTGATGCAGTAACCTTGCTCAATCCCCATGTAATTCCATGGAGTATAAAGTTATGCACCATCTCCCATGGTGTGGCATCTCAGCCATCTCAGGGCAGCGCTCTACGTGGGGCTGCCCTTGAAAATGGCTCGGAAATTTCAACTGGTCCAACGGGCAGCAGCCAGGATGTTAACTGGTGCTCCTTACAGAGAGAGGTCAACCCTTCTGTTCAAGGAGCTCCACTGGCTGCCATTTATTTTCCGAGCCCAATTTAAGGTGCAGGTGCTTACCTACAAAGCCCTAACGGTTTGGGACCATCCTACTTGCATGACCGCATCTCCGTCTACGAACCCACACGTTCACTTCGTTCATCTGGAGAGGCCCTGCTCGTGATCCCGCCTGCATCGCAGGCGCGTTTGGTGGGGACACGAGACAGGGCCTTTTCTGTGGTGGCCCCCAGACTCTGGAACACCCTCCCCAAAGATCTTAGACAGGCCCCTACATGGCAGTCTTTAGAAAGAACTTGAAGACCTGGCTGTTCCGATGTGCCTTCCCAGAATAGGAAACCTCCAATACCAAGTCCCTGAAGCACTTTATTAGAACTAAGATTGCCGCACATTGCACACTGCACTTACCCTATAATCCTTACATACCACCTGTCACATCAGCACTTTTAATCTGTACCCATTTACTCTGGCCCGGCCCAGTTTTATTGTGTCTTGGTGTATTGTTTATTGCTTGTTGTTTTGTTGTTTAATATTGCTTTAATTGTTTTTAATTTGCTTTAGGTTGTATTGTTATGTTGTGTATTGAGGCCTTGGCCTTTGTAAGCCGCATCGAGTCCTTCGGGAGATGCTAGCGGAGTACAAATAAAGATAATAATAATAATAATAATAATAATAATAATAATAATGATAGATGTGCAGTCAGCATTGTGAGGGGAGAGGCAAGTGAAACTGTAAAGCAAAGATGAATTGAGAAGGAGGAGAAGCAAAATGCAAAACTGGCAAAACAAAAGAAGGAAAGCAAGTTTGTTAGGATGCATTATAGCAGGAAACAAACCTTCCAGGATTAGGATAGTAATGCTGATTCAGCTATGGGACTGGGTACTGAAGAAGAGGCGGGAAGGAAAACAGGATAGCCAAAGAACACTGAAGATAAAAGACAGAGGAGCCAGATAAATAAGTGGCATCTGTGTCACAAGAGACAGCATTTTCGATAAGCACATGTTAATGTTCTGTCTATGCAAGGAAGCATGGGCAGTCGTCAAAGGAGAACACTGCGAAAAACAGATAATTATAAGACTGCCAAACAGGTTTTTCAAAACAGAAAAAAAAATATTTATCTGATGTTGTTCGACACAAAAGGCTCAAAACATTTTTGATATATTTGAGACCTGAATGTCCAAAGATATGGTTGATCTCTCCTCCCTCCCACTCCCCCATTTATAGAATCACAGAGTTTAAAGCACGGGTCCCCAAACTAAGGCCCGAGGTCATTTACCCGACCCTCACGCAGGGTCAACCTAAGTCTGAAATGACTTGAAAGCACACAACAACAACAACAATTGTATCTCATCAACCAAAAGCAGGCCCACACTTCCCATTGAAATACTAAGAAGTTTATATTTGTTAGAATTGTTCTTCATTTTAATTATTGTATTGTTTTTAAGTGGTTTTTTTTTTGCACTACAAATAAGATGTGTGCAGTGTGCACAGGAATTCATTCATACTTTTTTCAAATTATAATCCGGCCCTCCAACAGTTTGAGGGACTGTGACCTGGCCCCCTGTTTAAAAGGTTTGAGGACCCCTGGTTTAAAGAGACCTCAAGGGCCATCCAGTCCAACTGTGATGGCATGAGTGGCGCCACCTATATGTAGAACTGTTAGTTGCAAGATTTAAACTGTTGTATCATGCTTAATCCTGCCTTTTTACCCTGCCTATGTATAGTTGGATTGATTGGTTATTTATAGCTGTCAATCAATGTTATTTGCACCAGTTGAATTGCTCTATCAGCTCAATTGTTTGGCTCCACCTCTTCCTGGAGGAGGGGAGTGCTTCTCTTTTTCATTCCACCATCAGATTTTCTACCAGATGGATGTGAGTAAGAGACTTGGCTCTAAAAGCCCCTGATTAAGTTACCTCTCAGCACCAATTCTGAGGTTCTTACCCTTGAGACTTATGCTTCATATTCAGATTAACTTGAACAACGTTGGGAAGTCTCAAGCACCTTCAAACCAGTTCTTTTGGCACCAGAGGAAGGCCTTGTCCCTTCAGATATAGGCCATTGGAATTGGGGTTGTGATTATTCCGATATTCACAGCCAGTGAGGAAAGAGGAAACTTGGAAAAGCTTCTCAGTTGCAAACTCTTTGGTCCCAAGACAAACAGAGACTATGGTGTATATTTTCCTTCACCCCTTTGAAACTTCCAGCTTATTGCCTTAAAGAGATAACTCTTTGTGAACAATAAATCTTATTTTGAGTTATCTACAGTGTTTGGGTCTTTGAGAGTTCCAGTTTCCTAAAGGAGGGCAAGATGCAATCCCCTGGGGGAAAGATGTCACGTCCATGCCTCTTTCACTAAGAGCTATAGCCCTCAGGCGCGACAGCACACCAACTCCATTCTGCTGTGCTGGACGATACACACTCACAACAGATGACCATCTATTATCTATTTAAACATGTCCAGAGAAGGAGACTCCACCATACTCCCAGGCAACAGCTGCCTCTTTCGCTCTTAACTAGCTCTGACTGTCAGGAGATGTTTTATGCTGGTCTAGACATGGACTTGGTGTAGTCAAACTGCAACCAAAGAGATTCCACTTAAACATTAGGAAGAACATTCTGACTGTAAGATCCATTCAGGTGTAGAATCTGTTGCTGTCAGGGTATATGATGGAGTCTCTTTCTATGGAGATTTCAAACAGAGGCTAGATCAGTGGTTCTTAACCGGTGGGCTGTGACC